CCATCGTGGCGAGGGCGTCGAGCTTGTCCAAAATGGCGCGGTGGTGGGATCGGCACTCGGTGATGATGTCTGCGATCCGGGCCTGCGCGCTGCTTGGCATGCCGCTGGGTTGAGCGATGGTCCCACGCGCCCAAAGCTCGTTGATGTTGTTGAAGGACACGCTGATTATTGCGACCCCGTCGCCCTCGTTGACGGCGACGGCGCTGCGGGCAAGGAGGACCTCGAGCTTCGTGTGATAAAGATAGAGCATGGTGGCTCCCATGGGGAAGGTGATTGCGTCGTGATCTGCCTTCCTGGGTAATCGTCGCAACTGGGAACCATCCAATGGGCTTCTGGGACTCCACATGTATCAGCGGTGGTTTGTCGTCGTTCGTGCTGGGCGTGGTAATGCTTGGCGTAGAGTCGCAAGTGCCGGATGCAGAAGTGCGCGCGTGGTTCTCCTGCTGCGGGCGCCCCTAGCTCGGCGCACGCACCGTCGTGGTCTGTCTCTTGCGCACGCTGTGCTATCTTCTTCGACGGTCGGCATGGCGGGCAAATCTTTGAACATTGCTGGCCCAGGGTCTGGGTTGAGCGCGTTTCGAAAAAGGATTTGGTGAGCTGGGCTGGCGCCGCGGGCGAAGGTGCGATTGCTGGCATTGTGCCTGTCATTTTGCTGCCGCTGCTGGTAGGCATGATCGGGCGGCGCGCGAGTCATTTGGGCTGCATTGTCGGTTGCAGACGTCGGCACCAAGTGCTCCTTATGGGTCGTCTCTCCCTGCGAGGTCGCTACGCTTGGATGAACTGGAAGTAGGATAGGAAGTGGCCGGCGTCTGCTCGCCGCGCCATAGATGCGAACCCCCGTCGAACCACTCGTGGAAGTTAGGTCCCAGCATGCAGTCGGTCGCAACTTCGCGAGTATGCCGTGGATAGTGAGTGCCATGATTTTGCTGGACTGCTCGCGCACGGCTGGACGCTCTGGCATGGGGTGAGGGGGGGGGGCATGGGGCCCAGGCCGGCCGGGGTGGAAGCAGCCGCCCCTGTTGACGCTGAAGGCCTCGATGCTCAGGTCGGCGAGCGCCCGAATGCAGCATGGTTCGCAGCTGGGGTCGCCTGGGGACTTCCACTGAATGGCGCTGGTGTTCATGTAAGGGCAATGGGCGAAGCTTCCGTCTCTCTAGGTCGGCGTGTGCGGTCCAGCCAGGCGGTGGTTTCCCATGGTGGGATTGGTCGGGTGGGGGTGCGTCGCCTTGCTCGTGCATTGGCGGGGCGCTGGGGCTACGGTAGCTGCGGCTGGCCCCTGGCGTCGTTGTGGTAATTTCTATTGGGTTTCTGCCTGGGGGTGGGCCAGGCGGCGAGGGCGGCTGGTTGGGAATCGAAGCATTGGCCTGCTGGCGCAGGAGCTGCAAGTTCGGCGCAGGGGTGAGAATGGCGTGGTGGAGTTGCGAGGTCGAGCGCCGCTGAATGATCTGTTGGTCGGCGCTCGTAATAGTCGCGCGCGCTGGGTGCCGTACTTGTTGTGGTCGAGCTTCTGGGAATGTGCGTTCCAATCGGGGAAGTCACTGTGGGTCCAGTTGATGGGTTCAAAGCCCGCGTTGCGTAGTTTGTGGCAGTAGTGAGGCAGGTGACATGTCTCTCCTCGTCGTCGATGAGATACTGCCTTGCTGCGTGGGCCCCGTTGCCGGATAACTTGTCAATGTCGGTGACCTTTATCTGCATAAGGCCGCCAAGTATGATCTCGGCAAATTGCTTGTACTCGGGTGCGTCGTACTTGAGTAGCCGTCTAGTCTCGGTAGGGGCATCCCCGTGGAGGGTGAAATCCACGTGGTGAGCGATGATATCCCGCTTGGTGGCCTCGGCGTGGGCGTTGGTACATCCGTCGGCTCTTGCTGTGCAGGTCTCCGAAGTGCTAGTGGCCTCCTGCAGAACTGGTGCTGTGTATTCGATGGGGGCGTCGTCAACGATGGCGGGCCATTTGGTTCGGTCACTGAATGGTGCGCTCAGCATGAGGATCGTGGCGTGATCGACCTCCCTTGTTGGTAATGGTGGCGTACGCTATGTCCCCGTCCATGCCGATAGCAGAGCGGTGTCCCGTTGGCGGCATAGGTTGACTGGTACTCGTTGTCCTCTCATGTCGGTCTCGTCACAATGTAATCCTCCTTCTGTTTGTGGCGTAATGTGGAGGCGATCGATGGGCAAGATGAAAGTGTCCGTACACGGGTGTAGTGTTCATATTCCGCGGGTTCAATGTCTTTGCGTATGCCGCAAGTACCCCTATCTCGAAGGTCGGATGCAGGGTGCCGCAAATTTCGGTGATCGCAACGATGTAGACCTCCTGACTGTAGCGCTCGATGTTGATGTGGGTGGCGTTGCGTTCTATGTCATCGAAGTTGTTGCGCTTCTCCATGCAATGATTGTTGAATATGTGTAGGGTCTGTAGATTGATGAAGGGCTGCTCGTCTTTGTTCTTCCACCGTGGTGCATGGAGCTGCGGTGGGTCTATGCTTGTGAGCGACAGGATGTCCTGCCATTCCAAGTTGTGGACGAATATGTTCTCTTGGGGTCGCGGTCGTTAGCAGCGTCTCCTGGTGTGCGGTAGTTCGTGGCCGAGCGGCAGTGCGGGCACTTGTGAGGTCTGTCCATCCCATGGTCCGTGTCGGTCCATATCTCGTTGTTGGAGTGGACCGTAAAACTGTCGTAAACGGTGTCCCAACTCTCCTTGACCTTGTCCTTCCAGCATTCCCCGGCTGCGGCGAGGTAAGCGATGGTTCTGTGGTGACAGTAAGTGGTTCGCACAAGCCCGCCCCTCACTGCAGCGGGGACGCAAATGTAGCCATGGTCGAGGTAAACGTACGTGTAGTGGCGTGTGAGGGCGTCGGATGTGATGTGTTGATTCCTTGTGATGGCCTTACAATGCCTGAACACGCAGTAGCTCCTTGTGGCCTCCCCCTCCTCCTCCTCCTCGCCCTCCTCCGAAGGGAGGGCGGGAATGGACGGCGCCCGCTGCCTCGATCCACCTGCATGGCCCGACCCTCCCCTGGCCCCTCTCCTGCGCCCTCCCTAAGGGCGGCAGGTCCCTGCCTCGGCGCCCGTGGGCCCTGCTCCGTGGCACCGTGGTGCCCGGGAGGAAGGAGGAGGTGGAGGAGGAGGAGGAGTCAGGTGGGACCCGGTTTCATGACTTGTGCCGGGGACCTCCCCCTCCGCACCACTCCACGAACCGGAGCTGCCGTCACCCGAAAAACACCAGCTACGGCAGACCTGGTTCAGTGATTCCAGCTGATATTTTGGATTTCTGGGTCCTGGCTATACCCGACTCTGACGACCACCGCTCTCAGCAGGGGCGCCCACCTTCGCGCCTCGCGCTGCGCGAAGCGCGAATCACCTCGCGCTCCCCCGCCGCCTCCCAGGGGAGAGAAGGAGGCTGGAAGAAAAGGAGAGTGAGGAGGAGGAAAACGAGGATGAGGAGGAGAAACCGCGAAGCGCGAAGAACTTCGCGCCCTCGGAGGCGCCCCTGTCGCAGAGGTCTCGGGTCGGGCGAAAGGGGGGGATAGCAAAGGGGGGGTTTGAGAATCAGCTCACGTAGCTGATTTCTCCGGCGCCTCCTGGCGCCAGAGGCGACTATGTATCGAGGAATGGGCCCCTCGGCGGGGCCGAAACCAGCTGCATGCAGCAAATTTCGTAACCCCCCCCCTCCCAATCCCCCCCGTTCGTCCGGCCCGACGGTCCCAGGAGGCTGTCGACCCCAACTTGCAGATGAACTCCGCGCCACGGATCGCTCCTGCGGGGCCCTGGGGCCGGAGACCCGCCACGGGCCCCGCAGGTCGCTCCGCTCTGATCGGCGGGGAGCGCGGGGGGGAGTGAGAAGTCGGGGGCGCGCAGACATGGATTAACGATCCATGGATTTGGCGCGTGGTCCTCCCCTGAATGCGGCCGGTGCTGCCTCGCTCGGCGGCGGAAATTCGCGATTTCCAATGGAAACGGGTCCCGCCGCTAATCCACGCCCCCCTGAACCATGTTAGCGATCGCCTGAGGGGGGGAGTGAGAAGGGGCGGGCCTTCTCAGACTGGGTAGTCGAAGCCAATCTGGCGCCAATCTGGCAGGCCCAATCTGGCAAACGGGGGCAATCTGGCGAGGGAGCCAGCGCGAATCCAGTCTGGCGACTAACCCAAATCCTCCAATATGGCCAGGCCAGATTGGCCCTTGGGGCCCAATCCAGTCTGACAGTCTGGCCTTCGACTACCCAGTTAGAAGGCTCGAACGTCCCACGGCCTTCTGAGAAGTTTCCCAGGCCCTCCCCCGAGAAGCGGGCAGCTCCTCCGAAGGCGCGAGGGCTCCTGAGAAGCCCCGCCGCCTTCTGAGAAGGCCTTCTCTCAATGAGGACGGACAGTCTGTCACAGGGAAGTCCAGTGAACACATGCTATGAGAAATTTATCACCAACCCTTTGGGTTAAGATGGTCCAGCGAGTTCTTCCCTTTCCCCCCGGGCGCGCCGCCGAATTTGGTGTTTGGGTCATACCTCGGGTCTCCGGCGGCCGTTCGGGACGATCCCGGCACCCCCAGAACGCTTTCGGCGAGGCGCAGCCGCTGGAGCGCATCCCGAGGGCGAAGGACCACCGAGAACCGACGATAACGCTTGAAAACCTCGACCCTCGAACCCGAAAACTAGGAAACGTCCCTCCCTCGCTCGCCGCCGATTCCCGAATCACTTCCCCCCCCTCGCTCGCCGCCAATTTGAACGCTGGCGCTGGCGCAGGAGAGCCCAGAATCGAATCGATAAGTCGGATCGGCGATCGACATGAATCGGATCGGCAAAAATCGGCAGCCAAGTCGGGAAGAGTCGAATCGGCAGACATCGGCAGGCTGGTATGCCTCCAATGAGAAATCGGAGCCCAAATCAGAATCCCAAGTCGAATCGAATCGGAAACGGAAGACATCGAAATCGAATCGAATCGAATCGTAGGAAACAAAATGAGCCCTGGTCGAGGAGGCACGAGCCTGCCGTGCCCCCGCTCCCCCCGCCCCTCCTCCGAGTACATGCTGGCGGCGTGGTCCTCGGCACTGCTGCCAGCGCTCCCGTCGCTGTCCCCGTCGGAGCCCCTGACGGAGTGGCGGAGGAGGAGGAGGAGGACGAGGAGGAGGAGGAGGACGACGAGGAGGAGGAGGAGGAGGAGGAGGAGGAGGAGGAGGAGGAGGAGGAGGTGGAGGAGGAGCAGGAGGAGGAGGAGGAGGAGGAGGAGGAGGAGGAGGAGGAGAAAGAGGACCGAGGAGGAAGGACCGAGAAGGGAGGAGCGAGGAGGGAGGAGGAG